GAGAAGCTTGGGGTCAGAGCGCAGGGTCAGCCATTGTACAGCGCCCCTGGAGCAGTCAGAGTTAAGGGCCTTGCTCAGGAGCCCAACGGAGTAGGATTCCTCTGCCGGCCCCAGGTTTTGAACCGGCAACTTTACAGCCACAGGCGCAGATCTTTAGCCACAGAGCCACCGCTCCGCCCACTAGTCACTAGTATTTGAAATATCTGCTTTGCAAACAGATATAAAAAGCTTTGGTGATTGAATTTAGTACAAGATTATTAGAAATCCCTCTCCTAACTCACTATAACCTATGTTTTCTGAATGTGGAAGTGATTTGAATGGCTTTCTTTGCAGGATCCATTTTCTGCCAAGCACTGTTCACATTGTTATGCTGAAACTATGACATGCAATCTTTGGGGAAGCTAATCTCAAGCAAACAACGAGTGTGCATTTGTATGTATTTATGAGTATAACTTCATAAGGAGTTAGCGAGAATGGATTGTGTATAATGTATGGGCTCCTTATGGACCATGTGAAACAGCAAATAGACGATTGCCTCTTATAAGTTGCCGTGTAACACGTTTCAGTGCTGCTCTGAGCGCAGTAATCTCAGCAGAATCATTATACAGTATGTGAGGTCATATTTCTTTTCCCCTCATTATATGATGCCTGACGGGCCAGAGTAAGGCAGTTCGCCAGATAGCATTGTGTGAGTACTATCTGTTTGGGGCCTCTTCTCTCTGTGAGGCTCTGGAATCTGTGACACACTCATCACACACTCTATTTAAAGCTACAGGAGGCAGGACTTGTGTCTAGGTGCTATCTGTGAGATTAAGTGGGAACGTGTGTTGGAATTACTCTCCAGGGTCTTGTGGCTGTATTTCATGACTTTTTCTGCAAAGCAACATAGATGTAATTTTCTCAAGAAAGAAGGGGAAAAAGAACAACAAAACAGAGCTGCTCAGTATCTTATGAAATTAATACTAAAGGGTATGAAGTGCTTTTAGATTGCTTCAGTTGGGATGGTTGTATTCTTATATAAAGTGCTAATTAAAATCTGCTCAATCCTGTCTGCCTTTGTAGTTTGTTGACTTCAAAGAGACCTTTAAAAAAAAAACAGCACCACGGCAACCTGAATTAGATGTGATTGAAAGAAAGAAAATGTCTGTTTAATTGGGCGGCAGAATATATTGGTGCCCTTTCTGGTATGGAGGTCTGTGATTGCATCAGAAGTGTGACCCCATTCGCTCCTTGAAGCATCTCTTAAAATAGCATAAACAGATTGGATAAAAGATTGATGTAATTCCACTGTAATGTTAGAGGAATATCTGAAGAATGTTAGACCTCGGTTTCTTGTTCTAACCAGATTATGCTGAGTTAAAGCCTAAATTGCTGTTAGATCAGAAGCAGAGGTTGCTGGGCACTAGTGATGGCTTTTCAGAAAGTGAGAAATTTTATATATATATACCGAAATGTGTTTTTTACCCAGGCCCATTTAAAAAGAAGATTAAAAACACTCTTCTGTCAGTCATCGCTTAAAGCCATTCAAGGAACTCGTGTGTCAGCCCCTCATAAGAACATCAAGTTTGAGAGGCCTATCTACAGTAGCTCATGTGGTGTTTAGTAGCTGATTGATCAAAGGATCTCATTCAGCCATGTGTCAGCCATGAAACAATGGTACTGACTTCAAAAGCCAGGGTGTTTATTCCTCTGAACCAAAAATTTCCAAACCAGTACCCCAGTATGCTAACCAGGCACAATGTCCTGAAGGAGGTGCTCTCCTCCATATAAGATTTTAGTCCAATGGCCAGACTGCTCCATTACATGGCATTAATTGTAATTAAGTATGCTTGTTAACAATTGTAACAATTGTAATTGTAAGAGTATGCTTGTTAACCTTGTTTTCCTGGCTACACTACACTCTGGACTAGTATTGTCTGGCCTTCATAAAGTTCCTACCTAAATCAGTTGGTGAAGCAGTTTCTCACTTCTCTACATGATCTGCTGGGTGGTTAGTGCTTCTGATGCATAGTAATTGCTCTACATCCCTCAGATGGGTGCTGTACCAGTGATGGGTGAATTTGTTCCCCTCCTGTGTGTAAAGAGATTTGTGATCCCTTGGGTTGCAAAGAATTATTCTCTTTCATTTTTTATTGGCATCTTCTGGCTTGTTTCAATGTTGATACAAAAGATGTCCAGAGGGTAAACATTGATGCCCTTAAAGATTTTAGGGGTCTGGCCATAGTCTTCTTTCCAAACAAAAATAAATTATTATTTTTGCGTGCAAATAGTAGGACACACAGTAGCTCATCACAAGACATGCTGGAGCGCCATCTGTATATCTGTGCATAAGTAGCCTTGTTTGTTGGTGCAGTCTGGATATGTTTATGCAGTGAGGACTCCACAAGTGAGCCTGTTTGCTGATCTGTGTTGCTTGTCTCTCACTCCTGGCCAAATAATCAGAGCTTGATATTTCTGCTATCTCATAGTTTGATGCTTTAACTCAGATAGGTATTGCTTAACAGGCGTGGTCTCTATTGTGGATCTGAAGAAGGATGAACAGGTTTTTAGCATTCATGAAACAACATCTCATGCCATGCTACCATTTCATAGAGTAGATTTACAATTACTCATGCACTTATTACCAGAAATACGCTTATTCCTAATAAGGGTGATAGGCTGTACAAGGCACTTTATAGGAACAATCAGGCCAACTTTAAATGCTTCGTTATGATCTTGTAAGGTATGGTTTTAATATTAATCACCCTACTGAATATATGAAATGTAATTTATCTGTTACAATACTAACTCACCTCTCCAAGGTTGTAATTTTTACAGTAGCATAACTACAGATATTTATATAGATGCCTTAGAAGTTAAAGGATTTCTTAGACAAATGTGTTGTGCTTGCAGCAGAAACACAGGAATCTTTCCCAGGAGAACACAATTCCCCTAATATATGCAAATTGTTCTGTTTTATAGGATTGTTAGGCGAAATGCACTGAATTTAGAAGGAGAAAAAAGAAGAGAAATATTAATTAGGAGCAAATAATTATCTGAAAATTCTGCACAAAGATCTTGGTGTTTCCTTTTTTTCAGTGTATATATGTGAATGTTTTATTTTTTATGGGTATTCTAATCTGAGACATAAAAAGCTAATTTTTCACCTCTTTACTTTCAAATTTTTATGACATTGAAATACAACACCTACCATTTTCTGCTTGATTGTGACATTGCACCTGTAATTTTGATTAGACTGATGGCTGTATTGGAACACAATTATTGTTCAGAATGCTAATTTAATCTCTTTATTTAATTTTAAGCTTAGAAATAGATGAATGCTGGAGATGTTTTATCTGACTTAAATGCATTAATTAATCATTGTAGTAGTGCAGTTCGGTGATGGCATGTTTTAAATAACTGCCAACTTAAATAAAATCGCCTAAAATAGTTGATTCTGAATTTTAAGAAATTTCAAGCTAATCCCTTGCACTTTAAATGTTCTGTTGATTGACTGGACACATTTTGAATTGCTGAGTAAGTGTTATAAAGTGCTGACGCGTAATCATTAAGTTTTTGTCCCTTAAACATGATTTTATAAAGCTGCTGACTTTCTAACTTGCCTGTTACTGCCTACTGCATATTCATATTGTGGTTAGCTTCCGAATTAGGCATCCTAACAGAATATGTCTAATTAGGCATGCGTAAGCAAAACGTCCAAAACAATGAATTATTCTTCTTCTTTAATTTTCTAAATATTAATTGGTCTCTTAATGAGCACTTCACAGGAGAGCATAGGTGAAACTGCCTGAACTTTATACGTTCTCTTACTATACTTCATGTCATTGACTGTAGACAATTCCGTAGAGTCAGCAAAGGTTGGGAGCATAAATGAAAGACTGAATGGACACATTTCTCCAGCTGTACATGAGGTAGAAATTAAACAAATGAGCAGGCGTTTGTTTTTTTGTTATCTAAATCATTTGCATTATATCACTCGGTATGATGAGCTATGCAAAGCACGTTTTCCGGTGAGCACCATCTCGTAGTGCATAAATTCAGTTTGAAATTCCATAGAGATCAAGCAATTATCACCACGAGAGGGAACTGTAACAAGACTCCCTCTGGTGGCTCTTGCTGTAAAAGCAATGGAACTAACGGGCCGTGCCACGCAGCAGAAAAGTCGAGGTAAACTGGCCATGTCCATTTTACCACCCAGACAGAAACTGTCCAAACCTTGCCCAGGTTCGGGATGCCTCAGCTTTTCAGCTAAACTAATCACACGACAGGTGTCCGGACAAACTCTTCTATCATTTTACATTCGGTTTCGCTGTAGAGTGAAAGTCAGCAGTAAACCTGTACTGTGTTAGCTGTGATATGGTTAATATGTTTATAATGCATCAGTGTTTCCGGGTCCTATGAGTTATTGTCTGGTAGTGTCTTGTCATTGGATTGAGTGGGAAAAGCATAATACAGTAAACTTTTTCATGCTTTTATGCATCATTCTGCTATGATGTCTATGTAGGAGCTGAGAAATTTGAGCACTCTGTCCATTTTGTAATGCTTACTCATTGTTAGCCTAGTGTATAAAATAGTAATATAAAACAAATGGTACTCTATAGTAATTACTATTATTTTATTTACTATCTTTATGTTACAGTATATAGTGTCTTTCACTATACAGTACATCTCGAGGCACTCCACAATAAAACAGTTAATTCAGTAAATGGGTTAAAAGGTAGAATATGAATGCAAGTTGTAAGACAGGATTTGAAACTGTCGACTGACTTGCAAGATTCAGTGTGGGCTTAGAGACTGCGAAAAGGAGATGTGCTGGCAGCAACAGAGCAGAAAGCACAGTCTCCCAGTGTTCAGAGCCCCATTTAAGACACTGGGAGAGGGCCAGAGTGTTAAGGTTTTCCAGAGAGATGTCTCTGCTTTGTCATTCAAACCAATGTTTTAGATGTGCAGTCTAAACAATATTACTCACCTACTGTTCCCTCTTTTCTTGGCCTGTTTAGTTGGACGCTTGCTAATTGAGTTCAGCTCTGCCATGACGCTGGAGAGAGTGCAGAAGGAGAACCCCAATGTGACCGAAGGAGGGAAGTACACCCCTCCTGATTGTAGAGCCAAGCAGAAGGTAGCCATCATCATCCCTTTTCGACACAGAGACCACCACCTGAAGTACTGGCTGCACTACCTCCACCCCATTCTTCGCCGGCAGAAGATCGACTATGGGATTTATAT